CTAAAGACCCACCAAATCTAGTATGAGGGTTGGGCTCCAACCCCCCACCCGTCCGCCACATTGAGTGGGAGTGTCAAGCCTTCACCCCTCTTCCACTCGCCATATCTATTGGGTGTGTCGCCCCCCCCCCCCATCCTATCTTATCTCAGTATTTGGACCAGCCCTCTAAGAGATTCCTGCAGCCGGGTGTCGCCCTGTGACGTCAGGGAGGCCTATTGTTGTGACAGGCAGCTGACCTTTGACCCGTATGGCAGGACCTGCAGATATCAGCTGTTGAGATTGTCAAGTCTCGCGAGATCACGTCGGTCCCACCGGCTCGTGACGTCAGAGTCTTTCACACAGACGGCCTCAAGTACTTAATGACCGGAAGTGGTCGTGGGAGGAAAGAGGAGGGTGGAGTCATGACCTAGTTAACACGCTCTGACCTTTTACCAGCACCAGAACAGGAATAGATGACAGGTCACATCAGGTCATGTTGATGACAGGTGACATTAGGTCATGTTGGTGACAGGTGACTTTAGGTCATGTTGTTGATAGGTGACATCAGATCATGTTGGTGACAGGTGACATTAGGTCATGTTGGTGACAGGTGACATTAGGTCATGTTGTTGATAGGTGACATCAGATCATGTTGGTGACAGGTCACATCAGGTCATGTTGATGACAGGTGACATTAGGTCATGTTGTTAACAGGTGACATCAGATCATGTTGGTGACAGGTGACATCAGATCATGTTGATGACAGGTGACATTAGATCATGTTGGTGACAGGTGACATTAGATCATGTTGGTGACAGGTGACATTAGGTCATGTTGGTGACAGGTCACATCAGATCATGTTGGTGACAGGTGACATCAGATCATGTTGGTGACAGGTGACATCAGATCATGTTGATGACAGGTGACATTAGGTCATGTTGGTGACAGGTGACATTAGATCATGTTGATGACAGGTGACATTAGGTCATGTTGGTGACAGGTGACATTAGGTCATGTTGTTGATAGGTGACATCAGATCATGTTGGTGACAGGTCACATCAGGTCATGTTGATGACAGGTGACATTAGGTCATGTTGTTAACAGGTGACATCAGATCATGTTGGTGACAGGTGACATCAGATCATGTTGATGACAGGTGACATTAGATCATGTTGGTGACAGGTGACATTAGATCATGTTGGTGACAGGTGACATTAGGTCATGTTGGTGACAGGTCACATCAGATCATGTTGGTGACAGGTGACATCAGATCATGTTGGTGACAGGTGACATCAGATCATGTTGATGACAGGTGACATTAGGTCATGTTGGTGACAGGTGACATTAGATCATGTTGATGACAGGTGACATTAGGTCATGTTGGTGACAGGTGACATTAGGTCATGTTGGTGACAGGTGACATTAGATCATGTTGGTGACAGGTGACATTAGATCATGTTGATGACAGGTGACATTAGGTCATGTTGATGACAGGTCACATCAGATCATGTTGGTGACAGGTGACATTAGGTCTTGTTCGTGACGGATGACATCATGTCAGTAACACGTATTGTTAACCTTGTCACACCAAAGCTTATTTTGTGACTTTTGACAAACAACAAACTTCTTAATGTCTTTTAGCACTTTACTTGTGTTTGTAAGCCAAATCTATATATACTAGGCATGCTGCCCAGCTTTGCTTAGGCTTTCGAAAACATTGAGAATTTGAATGCTTAATTAATTCGCCCGAGTGTCGGTCTACGACCTCAGGAGTTATGAAGAGGTTCCTCCGTGGACATTTTTTTCGATTTATAGCTCATATAAGGCGCCGGTCAGTCGAGGTCAGTTTTGACCCCATCATCGTAGACTTTTCGGCCATCCGGCCCCCGTGTTCTGTCGCCCCAAGGCAAGATTCTGCCAAATTTGAAGCGCCTGCGGCGCCGGGAAGTGTCCTATCGGGCACCCGACAACTTTGCTTTATATATTATAGAGATTAGCAAATGGCATAGATAAACAAAGATTTCAATAAAGTAATTAAGGCCTGAAATACTTTAGTATAGAAATGTATTATTTGAATAGATGAATCTAGAATATCTAGATCTAGAATCCAAATAAATAAAATAAATTTTATGAGTTTAGGCCGGAAAAATTGTATTGTATACATTTCATAGTGTACGTAGATCTAAATCAAATTTGAATGAAATAGTTCATTTCTTTTTATTCTAAACACGGCAGATGACGTCATTTGTTAATGTATAAGCAATAGTGACGTCACAGTTTTATGCGTTCTTTTTCACATCTATTAATGCTTTTCCGGTTGCATAAATAATACTGTTTCTCTACATTCGATTTTTCTTCTTTAAATAAAATTGTGGTTATACATTTAAAACATCTAACATATTATTTTCAACAAAAGTCCGTATAAAGTTCTCCATATATCGCTGCCGTTTCTGACGTGATGTCCGGCGAAAATATTTTGCGGACAGACAGAGAGAGAGAGAGAGAGAGAGAGAGAGAGAGAGGTGCGCACATGGGGAATTATATATTAGGATAATTCTCCTCTTCGAGCCGTTAGAAAACAAGCTGCAAACGCTCTCCCTACCTCCCCACCCCTACATGGTTTTAGTGAGCTGTGTTCACTCTAAATGTTTACAAGCAGAGGGGGGGGTTATGGTCCTTAACGAGCTACTTATAGTGTTTTAAAGAAATATTTTCAGTGTCAGCGTTGGTACTGTCGAATTCACAAATTATGAATTATTGAAAATTAGAAACAACTAAATAGCGGCGTATGTTATGCCGCGGGCCGGCTCGTTGTTATTAATTGACCTCTCTTTGTAAGAATTTAAAATAAAACCTCTTTACTGAGTGCAACTCATTAAAGTACATCATTAAACTTTAAAGCCTCCCTGCTTACAGTACCTCATTAAACTTTAAAACCTCTCTGCTTACAGTACCTCCTTAAACTTTAAAACCTCTCTGCTTACAGTACCTCATTAAACTTGAAAACCTCTCTGCTTACAGTACCTCATTAAACTTTAAAACCTCTCTGCTTACAGTACCTCATTAAACTTTAGGAACTCTGCTTACAGTACCTCCTTAATTAAAACCTCTCTGCTTACAGTACCTAACGATAAAACTTTCAGTAGTTCATATTGTTGCCACGTCTAGGCTACATCAACCATCTGTTGTGAAATGACTTTCACTCTGATCTAATGATGACGGGACGTGTTTGTCTGGCTCTGTAGTTCTTCCTGCTGACTTGTCAATGTGTTGTATTAAACTACACACAATTGCAAGGGAGGTAACAAGATTAATTTGACACCTCTAGTTTTATTATGACTTGTTTCCCCTGTTTAATGATTTGCTGAAATTCCCTTAGAGATTTTACGGTCGACACGTTTCATGGAAAGCGTTGGTAAGGACGCGATTAGTGGTTGCCATGACAATAACTGGAAATAAGGCACAGGAAAAAGTCATGAACGATAAAACTCAAAAGTCATCAAGTCATATTCCTCCAATGTTTGAAACGCATTCGTTGACATTATACGTCGATCGCGGTCTTCGTTTCTTGTCGGCCTTTATACCCGTCAGTCTTTTGTCTTTATATGCTTTGTGTTGTACTGAACTGGTCAGATGTAGGTAGTATACGCCTTTCAGTGCACGTCTTTCAGTGCACGTCTTTCAGTGCACGTCTTTCAGTGCTCGTCTTTCAAATGTCATTGATTTAAAATAAGGGCCTTCGTCTCATAGATAACGTTGATTACATCTCCCCATTCCTGCTAATATAAGGCGATTTTTTTTTAAATTTCAAACCTTGAAAACATGTGACTTTCTCATGTGACTTTTTTAAAGGACGTGTTCAGGTGACATTTTGTTCCAAGAATTGACACTTCAGCCCCAAATACCTCACCGTTACTTCCCTTACATGTCCCCTGCTTGTGTGTGTGTGTGTGTTGTGTGCTGGAACGACAGGTACCCTCCCTTTGGTGTATAGTTGTATCCCTTGGTTGAGTGTGTTTACATGGAGCGAGGGGTGTTCACGTGAGGTGTGTCAGGTGACGGACCGTGTCAGAGCGTGTGCCAGTGTGTGAATCAGTTAGTTGTAGTGTGGCTGTGGACGTGGAACATGGAACGTGGTGTTGAGTATTGTATTTATGTTGTAGACCCCTTTTGATCCTTTTATTATTTAAGTACTGTATATATTATTAAATATCTTATTATTATTGTTATTATAGAGTGTTAGTATTAGTGTTGTATACGTCGTATTTGTCTGTTGTTATTTATATACCCCAAGATTCTAGAACCCAACACTCACCCTCGGCATCTACACATCCACCAGCGACATTAACTACCAGATCTACACATACACATTTACAGCGACATTAACTACCACATTTACACATTCACAGCGACATTAACTACCAGATCTACACATTCACAAGTGTGACATAACTACCAGATCTACACATTCACCAGCGACATTAACTACCAGATCTACACTTACACATCCACAGCGACATTAACTACCAGATCTACACATTAATTAGCGACATTAACTACCAGATCTACACAGTCACAGCGACATTAACTACCAGATCTACACATTCACAGCGACATTAACTACCAGATCTACACATTCACAAGTGTGACATAACTACCAGATCTACACATTCACAGCGACATTAACTACCAGATCTACACATTCACAAGTGTGACATAACTACCAGATCTACACATTAATTAGCGACATTAACTACCAGATCTACACATTCACAGCGACATTAACTACCAGATCTACACATTCACAGCGACATTAACTACCAGATCTACACATTCACAAGTGTGACATAACTACCAGATCTACACTTACACATACACAGCGACATTATTACCAGATCTACACATTCACAGCGACATTAACTACCAGATTTACACATTCACAAGTGTGACATAACTACCAGATTTATAAAATATAGAAGGAGAGTATTGTGTAATAAAACACAAGACATATTGATTAGACTTTTATATTCTTGTAATATTTCATCAGAGGAGGGGAGGGGACATGACCTAGACATTTGACATCAAGGTCAACCCCAAACTGAAATAAAATAATCAAAGGGACTGGTGACGTCATCGCTGTTCAACCACCTCCACACCTTGTCGTCTGCTGATAGAACGGTCGCCCCTGGCTGTGCGTGAAGCTGTACGTCTGGTGGCACCTGCCTGTAGAAGTCGCCTGTGACGTCAGCAGGTGGTGATGCCTGACCCTTCAGGTTGGCCTACAAAACACGGACACATTTTCATTTTAGTTGCTGGAACCTTGTCAACAAAATTACTGACACATTTTCATTTTAGTTGCTGGAACCTTGTTAACAAAATTACTGACACATTTTCATTTTAGTTGCTGGAACCTTGTTAACAAAATTACTGACACATTGTCATCTTAGTTGCTGGAACCTTGTTAACAAAATTACTGACATATTTCAGCTAATTAATTATAAAGTCAAGCAAGGCATAATTACTACAACCTTACAATGCAATCGTTTGGAAAGGATGAAAAGAAAAAAAACGTGTAGGAAAAAGTCACAGAAAAATAAAGTCACACATTTTCTAAGAAATATTACAATGAACTTGTAGAGAGTAGGCATGAGAGTCTATGTAATGATACTAATTTTTTGAAATAATCTTTCTAAAAATATGGCAAACGATAAAATTAGTTGCATTTATAAAAATAAAAGCCGTTTGGGAACCTTCGATTACACTCATTTGTATATTTTCATATCGAATATAAGCCGTTGAAATGTTGAAAAGCCGTTTAGAATTATTTTATCAATTCAAATATTTTCAAAATCTGCCCACAACCTCTCATTGAAGTCAACCCGAATGGCCAGGGAGAGTAAAACAATAAAAGTCAGAACAATTGTTTTCCGTGATAAAAATACACAATAGTGGACTATGGTGTACAGCGTAGTTTTGTAACCACAGAATATAGAGAAAATATGTGTATTTTAAAAACCTGAAATAGAGTGAAGTACCACTTCAGGATATTTGAGATCAATAAAAATTTCAGTGTAATCCAAGTATAAGATCTTATACTTAGATATGAAATTGTGTCTACCCAAATGAAAGAAAATTCAAGTTATCTTATTCCGACATAAATAGAATAAAGTACCACTTCCGGTTACCGGAAATAGTTCAAAAGCTGAAAAAAACCTATACATACTACTTAACATTTATTTATTAAATTTCGTCAACCTAATTTAAATGGCACTCAAGTTATCGGCTTTTTGGGAAACCGGAAGTAGTTCGTACCTTTTCCAGTTACCGGAAATCTTTCAAAAATAGAGAGCAAAATACAAATCCAATACAATAAGTCATTTTGTCAACATAGTTGAAACGCTAATCAAGTTATCGTGTTTAAAGATACCCACACAGACTGACATGATGACAAAACTAAGCTTTTCCGGCTCCTGAAGGTTATAAAATGTCAAAATTTCTCAAATTTTCGATTTAGATTTTTGCAAGATTACAATGCATCCTATTTATTCTGAATATAATACAGCGCGGAGGTGTAAAACGGCGAAATATATTAATAATTCGTTTATTTTTTCTGCACGACTGCAATATTTTCTCTATTCTCTGTATAGGAGAAAGTAAAAATATAAGAATGAAATAAAAATACATATCTTTAGCCTCGATTTCACTGAAGTAACCTCCTTACTGTTCTAAATAAGGGACCGCAAGTCGTTTTCCCGAAAGATACTTGTCCGAATGCCGTTTGCCCGAGGGACGTTTTCCTGAATGGACACTTACCCGAATGCGATAAATGCCTGAATAGACACTAGCCCGAATGCGACAAACGCCCGAATGGACACTTGCCCGAATATACGAGAAAGTTTAGGGGAGATCACTCCCGCTTTATTTTATGTGACTTTTTTTCTGTGACTTTATTTCTGTGGTTTTCATCTAATATATAAAGCTCAATTCTGTATGTAAAAATAAGTTTGTTTGTTTGTATTTGACATACTTCTATAGATTTAAGTGTTAGATAATTAAAGTCCTTATGGTCTAAATTTATGAGTTAAAAAATTAATATTGAAAGTTTTGGGAAATAATTTTCATTTATCAAACTGAAATTAATAATTTTCGGTATGTTCATTAAACACAAGTTTAAAAGAAATATCATCTTTTACAAAACTTCTAATTATGTCTTTATTTAGTCCTATAGCACTTACTTCCCTTTGATAAATTAGGAAAACACAATTACTTCCCTTTATAAAACCATTGCATTAGTGGAAAAGAATTTCCTTTTTATTACTTTGTTTTGGTGTTGGGAAAAAAATAATTACATAATTAGCGGGGATTGATCAAGTGCAAATGTTGTAGGTATTTTACGGATAAGCTTGGAGTATTATAATTGCTCATTAAATTGAAACAGGCGCGTTCGTTTAAGTGAGTGCAAAAGACTATGAATAAGTTGGGGTACTATAGTCGTTCATTAAGCTAAAACAGGTGATTCCGCCCCGGGCGTTTATGTTCGCGTTAGTGTTTTCTTAGTGTTTAGGTGGGTTTGCGTTAGTGGTTGCGTTTTGATTTGGTTCGTTTTTTTTCTTTCTTTTTTCGTTTTTGTTTGTGTTTTTTTCTTTGGGTTTGTATTTGTGTTTTTGGTTGGTTTTGCGTTTGGATTTGGTTTGTTTTCGTTTGCTTTTTCGTTGTTTTTTGTGTTGGTATTGGTGTTTGTGGTTGTGGTTGGGTTTGTTGTTAGGTTTTTGTTTTCGTTTGCTTTTTTGTTTGTTTTTTCTTTGTGTTTGTATTGGTGTTTGTGGTTGTGGTTGGGTTTGTTGTTAGGTTTTTGTTTTCGTTTGTATTTGTAATTGTGTTAGCGTTATGTTTGCGTTTTGTTGTTTTGGTTGGTTGTGGTTTGGGTGGGCAATGCCGGGTTTATGATGATTACTAAACACGGTTCCCAGAAAGAACCGCAACGGAAAAAAGCGCAACGGAAAAAAGCGCAAATCAAAAAGCGCAACGGAAATAAGCGCACACGGAAAAAAGCGCAAAGAGAAAAAAGCGCACACAGAAAAAAGCGCAAAGAGAAAAAAGCGCAAACGGAAAAAAGCGCAAAGAGAAAAAAGCGCACACAGAAAAAAGCGCAAAGAGAAAAAAGCGCACACGGAAAAAAGCGCAAAGAGAAAAAAGCGCAAACAGAAAAAAGCGCAAAGAGAAAAAAGCGCACACAGAAAAAAGCGCAAACAGGAAAAAGCGCAAACGGAAAAAAGCGCAAAGAGAAAAAAGCGCAAACGGAAAAAAGCGCAAACAGAAAAAAGCGCAAACGGAAAAAAGCGTAAACAGAAAAAAGCGCACACAGAAAAAAGCGCAAACAGAAAAAGCGCAAACGGAAAAAAGCGCAAACGGAAAAAAGCGCAAACAGAAAAAAGCGCACACAGAAAAAAGCGCAAACGGAAAAAAGCGCAAACAGAAACAGAAAAATGCGCAACCAGAAAAAACACAACGAAAAATGTGCAAAAGAGAAATTTAGCACAAAGACCATATGGACTAGATGACACATTTATACATGACTGTTAGGGCTGCTGTGAGAGTGTCGTGTTTGATCACGTGATCTACTACCATTTAAAGCGTACCACTACCATCTGCATTCCCATCACCACGATACAGGCGATAATCACTTTACACAATGCCTATTATTTTCTTAGTCAATAATTATTCAACTACTATTCTCGTATAAACATACAACTATCGACATTACACGAAGTATCTTTCACATTCTCCCTAGTCCGAACTACCTCGCTTGCATACTATAACAACCCGTTCCTATGGCAAAACTTCACTCTCTTTCATCCGCGTCATCAAACATGCATTCGTCATATCTCTCGTAACAACATTCATTCGCACCAAAATAACAATTTTGTATTTAATATTTTTTCACATCATGACGCACCTACCTACCTACCTACTACCCACCTACCCACCTACCCACCCACCTACCTACCTACCTAACTACCCACCTACCCACTTACCCACCTACCCACCTACCCGCCTACATACTTGCCAAACTACTCACCAAAAAGGTATCGGCGAAGTTCGTAAGTTTCGTAAACTGTACTAGACATCTTTTTTTTAATGAAAATTCATTGACATCATTGACATATGTGACATATATGTTACATTTTGCGACAACCTTAATTAGTGCATTGGGCTTGTATGAAAACTCACTTCGAACTAACTCAATTACATGCAGGTAACGGTCTTTAACAGAAAGGTTTTTCACAGAAGCCAGAGCAGGGCCTGGCCGGGACGGCTAGTATAAATTAAAACACTACCCTGCATTTCTTGGTTCCATCATCCATCGCTTTGATGTCATGATGACCACTTGACATATCCCTGTCATTTATGTTGGTCGATAGATTCGTGACGTCATAAGTCCTCTCGTCGATGCTCAGATTAGAAGTCGCGACACATGACGTCACATACGGCACCTGTAGTTGGTGAAACTGACACGTGACTTAACGAGTAATGACGTAATATCTACCTGCCAGAAATATAGATTATCTGTGAGCTAAGATCGTAGAATATCTGTGAGCTAAGATCGTAGAATATCTGTGAGCTAAGATCGTAGAATATCTGTGAGTTTAAAAAAGTAAAAGATAGAGAATATGAGGAACAAGATTAGAGAATATGAGGAACAAGATTAGAGAATATGAGGAACAAGATTAGAGAATATGAGGAACAAGATTAGAGAATATGAGGAACAAGATTAGAGGTGCCCTGTCAAAACGGCCCGGGACAAATCGGCCCCGTCAAAACGGCCCCGTTAATACGACCCCGTCAAATCGACTCCCGACAAACCGACCCCGTCAAAATAGCCCCGTCAAAAGGGCCCCGACTTATTGGCTCCCGTCAAATGGGCTCCCGTCATATTGACTTGCGACATATAGGCTCCCGACAAATGGGCTCCCGATATTTAGGCTCCCGACAAATGGACTCCCGACATATTAACCCCTGACAAATAGGCTCAGGACATATTGGCTCCCGACAAAGCGGCTCCCGACGTATTGGCTCCCGACATAAGGGCTCAAGACAAATGGGCTCCCGGCAAATGGGCTCACGACATTTTGGCTACCGACAAATGGGCTCCCGACATATTGGCTCCCGGCAATTGGGCTCCCGACATATTGGCTTTTGACAAAATGACTCCCGACATATTGGCTCCAGAAAAATGAATGATATGACCACTATTGGCATAAAAGTAACCATTGTGTCCTACCTCCAATACCACCATAACCTCTTTTTAATGCCCGAATGAAATTATTTTTTCATGAACCAACATTAATTCACAAACAAATCGAGCCCTTAACAGCTAAATTCCACCAATTCTAAAGTTTTGATAATGTTTAATTTACAACAGAAAAGATCTGTTGCTTAAAAGCGAGCACAGAAGTGTAAATGTATGATATACATGATGTTAACATGATAACAGCATTTTGTTTTGATAACCTACAAGCACAGTGGCGTAGCGAGGTCGGGTGTCACCCCCGGGGACAAACTTTCAAGTTTTCGATTTGCCCCCCCCCCCCCAAACTTTCGATTTGCACCCCCACCCCCTCAACTTTTTCTCTATATATTTTGCTATTTTTTGCCTTGGTGTCACCCCCCTAAATGGTGTCACCCGGTGCGGTCCGCACCCCCGCCCCCCCCCCCCTCGCTACGCCCCTGTACAAGCATATTGCAGTTAGGAAGGTACAGCGTGGACCCTTCTCCCCACACAATGAGTTGGAACAGCCTATAACCGACTCAATTATGGATGTCATAGATAGATGACCCTTAAATTAAAACATACTATATTTTATAATAGATAAACTAATATAAAAATAAGGCCTGCCGAACAAGAGATGCATACGTTGTATTACATAAGAGTGTTGGATAAGCTAACTCTAAAGAATATTGATGAAGGGGTTCCACTGGCAGATGTCATATTCAATGAGACCGCTTTGCCGGGAGCAGTGTTTCTTCCAGACTTTTTTCTCCGGGGGGGGGGCACTTGAAATTTTCGGGGGGGGGGGCGGTAGACTTTCTTCGGGGGGGGCGGACACTGTTAAACGTATATATTTTCTATATAAATTATATAAATTTCTTTTCGTTCGGGGGGGGGGGGGGGCGGTAAAAATTTTACGGGAGCCCCCCCCCCCCCCCCCCCCGAAGAGATGCCTGGAAGAAACTCTGGCCGGGAGACTTAGTCTCTACAGAAACGGTATTGTCAGTGCAGTGGCGTAGCTAGGTTTTTGGGCCCCTACGCAAAAATTATCAGTGGGCCCCTTCGTCAGCCGTTAGGCCAGTGGCGTCGCTAGGTCGGGTCTCACCCGGTGCGGCACTTCGTATTGTCACCCCCTCCCAGGAAACAAAGTATATATATATATATATATATATATATATATATATATATATATATATATATATATATATATATATATATATATATATATATATATATATATATATATATATATATATATATATGTATATATATATATATATATATATATATATATATATATATATATATATATATATATATATATATATATATATATAGGTGCCCTGTCAAAACGGCCCGGGACAAATCGGCCCCGTCAAAACGGCCCCGTTAATACGACCCCGTCAAATCGACTCCCGACAAACCGACCCCGTCAAAATAGCCCCGTCAAAAGGGCCCCGACTTATTGGCTCCCGTCAAATGGGCTCCCGTCATATTGACTTGCGACATATAGGCTCCCGACAAATGGGCTCCCGACATTTAGGCTCCCGACAAATGGACTCCCGACATATTAACCCCTGACAAATAGGCTCAGGACATATTGGCTCCCGACAAAGCGGCTCCCGACATATTGGCTCCCGACATAAGGGCTCAAGACAAATGGGCTCCCGGCAAATGGGCTCACGACATTTTGGCTACCGACAAATGGGCTCCCGACATATTGGCTCCCGGCAATTGGGCTCCCGACATATTGGCTTTTGACAAAATGACTCCCGACATATTGGCTCCAGAAAAATGAATGATATGACCACTATTGGCATAAAAGTAACCATTGTGTCCTACCTCCAATACCACCATAACCTCTTTTAAATGCCCGAATGAAATTATTTTTTCATGAACCAACATTAATTCACAAACAAATCGAGCCCTTAACAGCTAAATTCCACCAATTCAAAAGTTTTGATAATGTTTAATTTACAACAGAAAAGATCTGTTGCTTAAAAGCGAGCAGAGAAGTGTAAATGTATGATATACATGATGTTAACATGATAACAGCATTTTGTTTTGATAACCTACAAGCACATTGGCGTAGCGAGGTCGGGTGTCACCCGGTGCGGCACTTAATGGTGTCACCCCCCCCCTAAATGGTGTCACCCGTTGCGGTCCGCACCCCCCGCCTCGCCTTCGCTACGCCTCTGCGTTAGGCTACAGAGGAGTTAAACGAAGAGATCAACTTCTACTTACGATGGATATTTTTTAATATATAAATATTCTGAAGGCAACATTTTGTATTTTATATGTCCTGATTTTGTAATTATACTATATTATTATGCTTGCCTACTACTGCTAAAAAGTTTATTTATAGGCTGATTCTCTCAATGTCTTGCACGACAAAGTGATATAGCCTGTAGTGTTATTATAACGATTGGGCTCTGTTTGACCCACAAACACTGAATCCCACTGCCGAAACGGTGGGGGGGGGGGGCTTTTTGGAACTTTTAACCTTTTTCTTTTTCTTAAATTATTTATAGGTAACAAATATTAAAATTCCATTGTAAAAGTTTTAATTTTTTATGAGGGAAAAGGGCCCCTATGTGCCTTGGGCCCCCATGCCTTGCTTACGCTAGCTTTACGGTAGCTACGCCACTGTTTCAGTGGTCCTTTTGTCTGGAGCCAAATTGACAGGAGCCTTTTTGTCGGGAGCCAAAATGACGCTAGCCTATTTGTCGGGAGTCGTAATGACGGGGGCCGTTTTGTGGAGAAACTAAATGGCGGGAGCCTATTTGTCGGGAGTCGTAATGACGGGGGCCGTTTTGTGGAAAAAACTAAATGACGGGAGACTATATGTCGGGAGCCAAAATGACGGGAGCCTATTTGTCAGAAGCCTTATTGACTGGAGCCCTTTTGTCGGGAGCCTATATAACGGGAGCCTATTTGTCGGTAGCCTAAATGACGGGAGCCTATTTGTCGGGAGCCTATATGACGGGGTCCATATGTCGCTGGCCCTTTTGACGGGGCCGATTTGACGGGGTCGTTTTGACGGGGTCGTTTTGTCGGGGTCGTTTTGACGGGGCCGTTTCGTCATTGGCCGAATTGACGCCGCACGATATATATATATATATATATATATATATATATATATATATATGTGTGTGTGTGTGTGTGTGTGTCGGCCTACATAGGCCTAAAATTTATATATATGCCACATACTGGTACACGTACGTGTTTAAGCTTTAATCACTGCTGACTTAATAGTAACGATGTTTATCTACAGTCTGTTTATAATACAGTTGGATGTAGCATTGTTTTCTTTATAGTTTACGTTTACGTCGTGGTGTCACACATACCCCCCCCCCCCCCCCCCACTCTTGATATAATTTTCGATTTGTACTTAGAAGACCATTTAACTTTAACTAATGGATCTGGGAAATGGCATTTCATTCTATAAATTTTACAATTTTTAGCCTTTGGTGTCACCCCCCCCCCTAAGTGGTGTCACCCGTTGCGGTCCGCACCCCCCGCCTCGTTTCGCTACGCCTCTGCGTTAGGCTACAGAGGAGTTAAACGAAGAGATCAACTTCTACTTACGATGGATATTTTTTAATATATAAATATTCTGAAGGCAACATTTTGTATTTTATATGTCCTGATTTTGTATTTATACTGTATTATTATGCTTGCCTACTACTGCTAAAAAGTTTATTTATAGGCTGATTCTCTCAATGTCTTGCACGACAAAGTGATATAGCCTGTAGTGTTATTATAACGATTGGGCTCTGTTTGACCCACAAACACTGAATCCCACTGCCGAAACGGTGGGGGGGGGGGGGGCTTTTTGGAACTTTTAACCTTTTTCTTTTTTAAAATTATTTATATGTAACAAATATTAAAATTCCATTGTAAAAGTTTTAATTTTTTATGAGGGAAAAGGGCCCCTATGTGCCTTGGGCCCCCATGCCTTGCTTACACTAGCTTTACGGTAGCTACGCCACTGTGTCAGTGGTCCTTTTGTCTGGAGCCAAATTGACAGGAGCCTTTTTGTCGGGAGCCAAAATGACGCTAGCCTATTTGTCGGGAGTCGTAATGACGGGGGCCGTTTTGTGGAAAAAACTAAATGACGGGAGACTATATGTCGGGAGCCAAAATGACGGGAGCCTATTTGCCAGGAGCCTTATTGACTGGAGCCCTTTTGTCGGGAGCCTATATAACGGGAGCCTATTTGTCGGTAGCCTAAATGACGGGAGCCTATTTGTCGGGAGCCTATATGACGGGGTCCATATGTCGCTGGCCCTTTTGACGGGGCCGATTTGACGGGGTCGTTTTGACGGGGTCGTTTTGTCGGGGTCGTTTTGACGGGGCCGTTTCGTCATTGGCCGAATTGACGCCGCACGAGATTAGAGAATATGAGGAACAAGATTAGAGAATATTTGTGAGCCAAGAATGAAGAAGATCTTTAATTTTGTATATTTGTATTTTCAAATTTCCTGTTCTTACTTTCTATTGAAATTTGGGTTCCAAATACAAACTAATCGTACAAATTAATTTTAATTTAGTCATAATTCGTGTATATGTGTTTAATAATGCCATAATATATATGTCGTCACTATTCTTATTGTCTGCAATATTTTGGCGGCAGTTTTCTAATGCGCAGTTTTCCGTTGCGCATCTTTCCGGTCACCTAAACTGTGTACTGGTGTGGGGGGGGGGGGGGGGGGGGGGGATCTTTTGATTTTTTGCGTCTGATCCCATTTTAAGCGCACTCCACTTCCTATGTTTGGCAACCTTTATTCATTGTTGACTGATCGTTCTTCTATTGAACTCCTCGTGCGATTGGTCAGAAGACTCAATACTTGTCGTACTCAAGACATTTGTTGTTCGATAAGCTTCTAGTTTCATCTCAATCGCTGCTATGTTGCAATATTCATAGCCATACAAAGCACGTTAAATATGTCTAGTTGATAGAAATACGGAGAAGATCAGCGGAGAGGGTCGAATGAGAGAGGTCAACCGTTCCAATAGACAGGATAGAATGGCCCTCACTTGATGTCTCGTGTGCCAATAGACAGGATAGAATGGCCCTCACTTGATGTCACGTGTGCCAATAGACAGGATAGAATGGCCCTCACTTGATGTCTCGTGTGCCAATAGACAGGATAGAATGGCCCTCACTTGATGCCCCGTGTGCCAATAGACAGGATAGAATGGCCCTCACTTGATGCCACGTGTGCCAATAGACAGGATAGAATGGCCCTCACTTGATGCCCCGTGTGCCAATAGACAGGATAGAATGGCCCTCACTTGATGCCCCGTGTGCCAATAGACAGGATAGAATGGCCCTCACTTGATGCCCCGTGTGCCAATAGACAGGATAGAATGGCCCTCACTTGATGCCTCGTGTTCCAATAGACAGGATGGAATGGCCCTCACTTGATGCCCCGTGTGCCAATAGACAGGATAGAATGGCCCTCACTTGATGCCCCGTGTGCCAATAGACAGGATAGAATGGCCCTCACTTGATGCCCCGTGTGCCAATAGACAGGATAGAATGGCCCTCACTTGATGCCCCGTGTGCCAATAGACAGGTTAGAATGGCCCTCACTTGATGTCTCGTGTGCCATTGGGAGATGATGATAGACGGATCTAGGGGCTGGAAGTTTTATATACTCCAACATATATTTTTAATATATAAGTAGCTACCCCTCACCCCACACTCCCCAATCCCCAAAACTAAAATCGAAAAAAAAAATAGTTCGACGCAAAGAAAATAGTTTAGTCCCCCACCCCCAAACTTCTAGCACTCACCCTGGCGCGATGGAGCGACCTCCTAGAGCTGAGACCATGGCCGATACCTCGGTGTCGGGCATCGTAGGAGGGCGCCGAGTGCAGAAACATGCGCCGTGCTCTCTCAGACTCGGCACCCAGGCGCACCGGCTCGACCAGTCTGCTTGGTGCCTAGGGAGGGGTAGAACTGATGAAATGTGTCGTCTCCTGTGACGTCATGTCCCCCCTGTGACGTCATGTCCCCTGTGTCGTCATGTCCCCTGTGTCGTCATGTCCCCTGTGACGTCATGCCCGTCTAGTCCACTTTTGACCTTGACCTACCTGAAACACTGCCCTGAGGTCAGTCTGGAACTTGCGCTCGATGCAGCTCTCGTCCACGGGCAGCTGATAGGGGATTCCCCGGCTGGCTTTCTGCCTGCAGAGGGCGTCCTTCATGGCGGGGAGGGGGGGCAGGTCGGGCCACTCGTACTCCAGCGGCTCTGGCGGCTCCTGTAGGGGAGAAAACTCGGTCAGCCACAGCGTGCTTCTGTAGCATCTTGACCCCAGGGTCAGTAGCACATTGTCCCCAGGGTTAGTAGCACACTGACCCCAGGGTAAGTAGCACATTGACCCCAGGGTCAGTAGCACATTGACCCCAGGGTCAGTAGCACATTGACCCCAGGGTCAGTAGCACATTGACCCCAGGGTCAGTAGCACATTGACCCCAGGGTCAGTAGCACACTGACCCCAGGGTCAGTAGCACATTGACCCCAGGGTCAGTAGCACATTGTCCCCAGGGTCAGTAGCACATTGACCCCAGGGTCAGTAGCACATTGACCCCAGGGTCAGTAGCACATTGTCCCCAGGGTCAGTAGCACATTGACCCCACGATTGACCACTGATCCCAACGACTGTATGACGTCAACCCACCTACCTCTGTCTTCAGCTTCCTGTTGAACTTTGACCTGTTGATCCCAGGAACTGCTAGCCTCCGGTTGACATGGCTTTTACTTGTCAGTTGTGGGTTGTTGGCCAGCGATTGACGGTTGGCCACGTCAGCCGAATGGCCTCTGGCCACCCCCCTGCTGGCCCGGTCACGTGTCAGTCCCCGGTCACCTGACTGGGTCAAACGGTCCCACCCACTGGCGTGTGACTTAGAACCCATCTGATCTATTGATCCGTTTTTCTGTAGGCGCCATAGATCTGTCTGGTTCCGGTTCGATGGTTGCAAAAGGTGGTGTATTTAATTAACCTGTGTGTGTAATTAGATCTCAGAACTTGGCACTGATTAACAAGGTGCGTGTAGCACGGTACATACATTATTCTATAAATAGCAAAGCCCGTTCATTATTATATAAATAACACACCCAATTCATTGTTTTATAACTAACAAACTTATTTCATTATCTATAGGTTTTATAACACACCCATTTAATTTTATATATGCTAAATAAAACACTTATTATTTATCAATAGGCTATATAACACTCATTTAATTATTTATAGGCTATATAACACAATCATTTAATTATTTATAGGCTATATAACACAATCATTTAATTATCTATAGCTATATAATTTAATTATTTATAGGCTATATATAACACACTAAAATAATAGTTCTGTAAATATCATGTTCAAAACAATGTCTCACACTAGTAAACAAGTCAAAAAGTACATTTAAAATACGTAATTGTTGCATAAATAGCACGTCTAATACACGGAAATATAATTAAGAAATTCTTGAAACACAATCCGACAAACTCTCCGAATAAATTCTTCCTAAATAAGACACCGACCTCTCTAAAGGATACAAACTTAGTACTGGACGTCTTCATATCATCCTGCTCCACTGGTATTTGTGTGTCTGTGCCTGTGTGTGTGCGTATCTGCGTGTGTGTGTGTGTGTGCGTATCTCTGTGTGTGGGGGGGGGGGGGAGGGGAGGGGTCAATCCACCAAAAATCTTTTGTCCGCCCAACACAATCAGCTCATGTTCACGGTTCTCTGCTTGTGACTCGATCGATATTCCATTTCAAACTTCAACCGTTTCAAGAACTAATTTTTTAAAGCCCGTCCCCCTCCCCCGTCCAGCCATTCCATGTGGTGATCCATCCACACCTTCAACCACATTCCTTCCACACCATCAACAGGCACTAACTAGCGTATCAACATCAAGTCACTAATTAGCACAAACGGTATCAACATAAAAATCATTAATTTACATATACTTAATGTATATTATTAATGACATTAATGTCACACCTAGGAATACGCTGGGGAGGATAATTCACCTAAAGTGGCTGGACAGTGGTGAATGAAGTTAAACCCCCCTCAAGCCACCCCGAACTGATCTGTTAAGTACATTTGGGAAAACGCGTAATGAGGTACCAAACTACCATGCCGCCAGAATCATAGCTTTTGAACAAGTAAAACTCTATAAATATTGTTTTTTGCAATTACCAGCAAAGAGGTGTGTGATCAATACAGTGATCTAACCCATACCATTTCATTATGTTAAAAAATTATCTTTAAAGAACACAAAAAAAAAACAGTTGCTGTTTAAAAAACAAGTTAATAAAAAGTCTAGTGACAATTTAAGCGCAATTTCCTTAATTAATTTTTTGTGACCGAACGAAAGGATATTTTTGAAAACTTTTTTCGGCAATATTGTTCTAAATTAAGGCAGGAATCGATTGGTAAATGTTTCAAGTCGCTAAGTGGTCTGGTTGCCGAGATATGGGTAAAAAACGGCATTTTTTTCGAGGTTTTTTTTTTTTTTGGCTTTTCAGGGAAATTCAGGAAGGAATTCCGGAAATTTTTTGGCCCACAATCATCCTCGAAACTTGCTTAACATATTTGCTTTTGGAACTAGTCCTCGATATTGCTTCGTTGAGGAGGAGATACGACTTAGAGCTGCGGACACACATCCATCCATCCATCCATCCATCCATCCATCCATCCATCCATCCATCCATCCATCCAGAAATAACGAATTAATAATCGCAATTGTCAGTATGGAAATTGCGCTAAAAAGTGATCGGAATTGCAAGACCAATAATTTGTACTTAAGATGTTCTCCTATTAGATTTAGTTATAACTTTGTAGAATAGTTTGATATTATACCAACTCTGATTTTAAAAAACTTTCATTATGCTGTAGAATTTTAGCATTTATAATGACAATATATTTAATTCCGATTGAAGACAACATATTTTTATAAAAACGAATAGTGTTAAATTATAATTTTACATACTAAAGTAATTATTGATCTGTTTTGGCATTTATAATTAAATTTGTAGAAATATACATATTTATATTAAGAGAGTGACTATTTCCCCTAGTTCTCTTGTCTATATTAATATTCTAGGAATCATTATGTCAAACTGTTTTTTTACAAGGATTACAAAACAGATTATGTTGCGTGAATTGTTATATATATATATATATATATATATATATATATATATATATATATATATATATATATATATATATATATATATATATATATATATATATATATATATATATGTGGTTTTTTTTTCTTTTTGCTGGAAAAAAATTGTACCACTCCCCCTTCCATGAGACCATCCTGGCTACGCCACTGTAATCTGATATTGTGGTGGTCTGATATTGTGGTGGTCTAATATTGTGGTGGTCTAATATTGTGGTGGTCTAATATTGTGGTGGTCTAATATTGTGGTGGTCTAATATTGTGGTGGTCTAATATTGTGGTGGTCTAATATTGTGGTGGTCTAATATTGTGGTGGTCTAATAAATATTGTTGTGGTCTAATTCAATATTGTGGAAGTCTGGTATTTTTGTCCTTTTAAGATACATTTTAGCTTTGAGTTTCTAGGAAAAACAAAATATCGCAACTTTTAAAACATTGAGTTCTGGTAACTTTAATAAAAATAGGCCTATGTGCTTACTATTTTAAGTAGGCTATCAAATCAATTTTTAAAATATTTTATTTTAAAAGAATAAATACCCTTAATCATCAAATTAATAAATGATATTTTCACCATACACAAAAAGATATACACGATCAGATTTAAAAATAAAATTAACTTTGTGCAACTTTACAAGATTTTAAGAAAAAAAAATAATGTCTATCCAACCTCACGGTTATATCATGTCAAGAACTATAACTTTACACAAGAGAGATAATTTATATTTGAGTTAGTTCTCTTAAGTTGCACCCCATGAAAAATCTCTATAAAAACAGCCAATTACTTTTCTCAAGACATGTTCTGTTAAATTTGTTTTTAAAAAGTGGCATTAAATAAAATACCTCCCTCACCATTCATCATAATAATATTAAAACTATCAGTGCAAATAGCTAGAATTTGGAAGTTTATTTTTGAGCAAATTGTTAGAATTTGAAAGTTTATTTTTGTACAAATGGCTAGAATTTGAAAGTTTAAAAGCATTTGTGCAATTGTCGAGAATTTGGAAGTTTAAAAGTATTTTTGCACAAATGACTAGAATTAAAAATGTTTCATTTAGTGAGAATTCTTTGTGTAGCTTTGACCCAGTATCAGTTCAACATCTGAACAGATCTCTTAGATTGTGGAAACAGAACAGACTTCAGTTTGTGGGTCTTGGTCATCTGTATCAATTGTGTTGTGTTGTGTCGTGTTCCTGTGTGTTGTGTTGTGTTCCTCTGTGTTCTGTTGTGTTATGTCGTGTTCCTGTGTGTTGTGTTGTGTTGTGTTGTGCAGTGTTGTGTTGTGTTCCTCTGTGTTGTGTTCTTCTGTGTTGTGTTGTGTTCCTCTGTGTTGTGTTGTGTTCTTCTGTGTTGTGTTCCTCTGTGTTGTGTTGTGTTGTGTTCCTCTGTGTTGTGTTGTGTTCCTCTGTGTTGTATTATGTTATGTTCCTCTGTTTGTGTTATGTTGTGTTCCTCTGTGTTGTGTTGTGTTGTGTTCCTCTGTGTTGTGTTGTGTTCCTTTGCGTTGTGTTGTGTTCTTCTGTGTTGTGTTGTGCTGTGATCTCTTGAATACCACCACAACGTTGATTTGAACAAATAATTATCGCAATGTTGTCTTCTACTTTCACATGATTACTTTTTATTGCGCAGTTGTTATAACTTGAGGTCACGTGATGAACTTGACTATTTCCTGACAAGACTTCCTTGGATTTTGTTCCCAAACAAATCCTGCCTCTCCCTCCCCTCCTTCCTCCACCCTCCCTAGACCAACCCTCGTGTTTGATACAAGGGGATCTACAAAGACAAATAACGACAGCGCCCCTCTGCCCGCCCCTCCCGACATAGACACAAAAACTGATAATGACAAGCTTCCCCCTCCCCCCTCCCCCGCGGTGGACGTTGATGAGCTACCCAGCTGGTTCCATCTCTCTCAGTGGCGGACTAGTTCCACGCTCGGTTCCACTCGGCTGATCGCATGTCAGGTGTTCTTCATGTGGCACCAGGCTCGTGCACTGGAGATTCTTGCGCGGGACGGGGACTACTTTCTGTAGTTTGATTGGTCGTCTCTGTGGTCACATGTCATGGACAGACACGGCAACAAACACGGCAACCAACACAACAACTACAACCAACACAACAACCAACACAACAACCAACACAACAACCAACACAACAACCAACACAACAACCAACACAACAACCAACACAACAACCAACACAACAACCAACACAACAACCAACACAACAACCAACACAACAACCAACACAACAACCAACACAACAACCAACACAACAGCCAACACGGCAACCAACACAACAACCAACAACTAACACACCAACCAACACAACAACCAACACAACAACCAACACAACAACCAACACAACAACCAACACAACAACCAACACAACAACCAACACAACAACCAACACAACAACCAACACAACAACCAACAACTAACACAACAACCAACACAACAACCAACACAACAACCAACACAACAACCAACACAACAACCAACACAACAACCAACACAACAACCAACACAACAACCAACACAACAACCAACACGACAACCAACACAACAACCAACAACTAACACAACAACCAACACAACAACCGGATCATATGGGCTTGTTTATGGTGTACTGTAAGTTTATATGGGCTTGTTTATGGTGTACTGTGGGATTATATGGGCTTGTTTATGGTGTACTGTGGGATTATATGGGCTTGTTTATGGTGTACTGTGGGATTATATGGGCTTGTTTATGGTGTACTGTGGGATTATATGGGCTTGTTTATGGTGTACTGTAAGTTTATATGGGCTTGTTTATGGTGTACTGTGGGATTATATGGGCTTGTTTATGGTGTACTGTAAGTTTATATGGGCTTTTTTATGATGTACTGTGGCATTATATGGGCTTGTTTAAGGTGTACTGTGGGATAATATGGGCTTGTTTATGGTGTACTGTAAGTTTATATGGGCTTTTTTATGATGTACTTTGGGATTATATGGGCTTGTTTATGGTGTACTGTGGGATTATATGGGCTTGTTTATGGTGTACTGTGGGATTATATGGGCTTGTTTATGGTGTACTGTGGGATTATATGGGCTTGTTTATGGTGTACTGTAAGTTTATATGGGCTTGTTTATGGTGTACTGTGGGATTATATGGGCTTGTTTATGGTGTACTGTGGGATTATATGGGCTTGTTTATGGTGTACTGTGGGATTATATGGGCTTGTTTATGGTGTACTGTGGGATTATATGGGCTTGTTTATGGTGTACTGTAAGTTTATATGGGCTTGTTTATGGTGTACTGTGGGATTATATGGGCTTGTTTATGGTGTACTGTAAGTTTATATGGGCTTTTTTATGATGTACTGTGGGATTATATGGGCTTGTTTATGGTGTACTGTGGGATAATATGGGCTTGTTTATGGTGTACTGTAAGTTTATATGGG